GATGTGCAGCGTGAAAAACCAACAAACTGTGCAGCTTCCACTGAAAAAATCTATATCAGAAAAGACCTTCGGAGTCCTCTAATAGCAACTCCAACATTTGTCGCAGATAAGGATGGGGCACGGTGAGTACCTCAGTATAAAACTAGTCTTGTTCAAAGGTACTTCTGCATATTGGTTTGAAGGTACACCTGTTCTCCTTATCCCTGTGCTCCAAACCACTGGCCAGACAAGGCCATATTTCCATTTTGCAAATCATGTAAGTTAATTATCAAGACCAACCTAGTATGTTCTGCTGTTCATCAAAATTTTTATGTCTGAGTACAGCTAGGTGGTTCCCAATTCAGAGCTGATTCATGTCCAGCAGGTCAAAGCATAGGCATGACAAATATGTGATGCACGCGAGCTGAGCTGGAGATTTCTAGAACTGATTTTCACTCTTTTCATTTGTGAGTCAAATTGTTCAAAAATACTACTATTAACTTGCTTCATTGGTAACTGCTTGTGTTACAGCTTCCTTGGAGGCCTATAAAAGACACTACATCTTAGCATGACTGTACGTAGAATGACTACATTACTTATGTAGGATTCAGGTTTGCATAATGCATGATAATTTACTGTCTGTGGTAGCTGACAATCTCAATGTCAATCCCCTAAGCCGTAAATTCCCTCACTTTGTTCCTTACTCATTTGTATCGGGTTTACAGACCTAGAGTGTTACAAAAAAGCAATAAATAATATTTAGTGACTGCAAAGACTTGCCACGCTTTCCCAAAAGGCAGATATAAACGAGTGAAGATTTTTAAGCAGACTTTGATTACACAGCTGCTTATGCTTGTTTTTTAATGTAAAACTTCACTGACAGCACTTCTTTATTCAGTGTTGTCATGTCTAATTTAGAATGCAGTTGTGACTGCCTCTAAAGTCTGATATTACAATTCTAGGGCTGTGCAGTGACTCATGAGGCCATAAGAATACAAAACTTTCTTTGAGAGAGAAGAAACCGGACTCAAAAACAAACAATAGGAATATCTATTTAGGAAGTTGTTGTTGCTTTTGTGAAGGAAAGGAGAACATGCTGGATGACAATTTCCTCTCTTTCTGTTTCAGAAACTGTTTTAGAAATATTAAATCCTGAAGGTTAAGTTCTGAACTTCTTTAAATTGTAAACTTAAAAATTGATAATACCTTTTCTTCTGATATAGGTTATTACACGTTCTTTTGGTAATTGTACAATATTATTAACTGTCACTCTTTTGAACAGGTCAGCAGGCCTTCTTGATCCAGGAATGCTTGTAAATATTCAGCAGCCTTTGATCAGGGATGATGGTACAGTCCTCCTAGCTGCTGACTCCAAGGTAGTATTTCTTTCAGTTAAGTTCTAAACCTTTTGTTTCTTTTTTGTTGTTGTTGTTTTTTATGTACATAGATAAAAATCATTCTTGGTCTTGAAGATACAGTGGGGTAGCTCTGAAGATCTATAAGAATGCCAATAACAATCTGGGGATATTTATTTTCATATATGTATTTGTGCATAAGTTTAGCCATAGCTAGTTCTCTGCACAAAATGTCATCAGGGCAAGGATTGATGATTTCAGTAGAGTTTAGAGATCATCCTCAGACAGGTGTGATCCATTAGTGTCGTGTAAATACCCAAGAGGAAGGGAAGATTACATAAGGGAAAAAGATTAAAGACAGGGAAAATGTATTTAACATATAATCTTGATCAACTAATCCAGTTCTTCCTTTTTAGGCTGAGACAAGCCAGGGTGCTTTAGGAACACTAGCAAATGTTGTAACATCTCTTGCTAATCTCAGTGAGTCATTAAATAATGGAGATACTTCTGAAATTCAACAAGAAGAGCAATCTGCAAGTGAGATTACACGGTATGCATTTACATTTGCAGGTTATTGTAGGAGGATGTACTTTCTGTTATGTTGACTTAACACTCCTTCATTGAAGTAACCCAGTAACTCTCAGCACAATAGAGATTGCCCCTTGCTTTAACACACAACACCAGTTCTTTAGAAATACAGGTTTGATTGTTCTCCTCAGCCTGCACTGCTCTTCCTGTGAAGAGCTGTGTTTCATGATACGTTTGTGTTCTAAAGCTAAACCAGATTGGCTTTTTTAAAAGATGACACACCTGGAAAGATAGTGAAACATGAAAAATATTTGGTTGCAAAGCTGTCTAGTCCTTCTCAAGTAAACAGCTTTATCAAATGCTGTAATACTGTCCGCTGGTATGAAATAGGAGCACAAGGTTTTCTACATCTAAAGCTCTGTTTATCATAAGAAGGTTTACATTGCTTTGTGTTTACAATGGCCCAACTACAGCTAGAATATAAAGAATGCAGGACCAGTTTCACTTATGTAACTGTAAAGTTTCTAAGACTCTATATGTACTGTGAAACCAGGAGTGTCTGGTCACATCCCAGCTTGAGAGTAAGGCAATTTGGGCAGGTTGCCGTGAAGGTTATCATACTACCCTCTGCTGTTTCCACAAACTAGATGTTGAGGATACATTTCCAAGGTGAGAAGGAGGGCACAGTGGGTGATAAGTACAAAAGATCCCTTTACTAACATAAATGAGAGCTATTAAAGCAAGATGATAGCGAAAAGTTCCTCCCTTACGGAGGAAGTTCTTTACCAGCCCTATATGGGACAGTAGAAAGGGGCTAGACAGTATTGAAAATTCTAGTCCTGTGTCTTAGCCATAAACAGTTCCTGTACATTAACTTTTGAGTGAAATTGTCTCATAGGGTTTACTTCGACCACTATTGTGAAACTTTTGAGGTTGTAAGGAAACATTCTTTTATTATTTATTCTTCTTTTCTACAGAGCATTTGATACTTTAGCTAAAGCACTTAATACAACAGATGGCTCAGCAGCTCAGAACTTGGCTGATGGAATGGATCCTACAGGAGGAGGGAATATTCATGTAATCAGTAGAGATCAATCAACACCTATTATTGAAGTGGAAGGACCTCTACTCACAGATACACATGTCACATTTAAGGTATGTGCTTCTTGAAATACTTTGCTAAGCAAACTAATTTTCAAGACATAACCCAAAATGAGTTTACTCTGTTTTCTTTATTATTGTATGTAATTTTGTGAACATCTATTATAGCATCTACTGTTACAAAGTGTCTAAACAGTTTTCACTGTTGCATGCTGTATCTGAAAAGTGTAGGTTTCATAGAACCCTTTTATAAACAGAAGGATGGTTTAACATTTATTTTACTTTGCATTGCTTTCATTGTTGATAACTGCTTTCCATATCAAATATATGATTTGTATGCTTAAATCATTTATAAATGCCTACAGTATAAAGCTTTCATCTAAAAGGCTCCTTCATATAAGCAGAGGTTCCAGTGTCGCCTTAGATGCAAACAGCTGGGCCACCGTAGGTATTACATCTCAATGATGCTGCTGCTTTAAGTGAATATGAATTAAAACATGTTGAGGAACAGTATGGGAGAAACAAGAGGAGTGTTCATTTAGCTGTTACCAAATTGCATTGTTTCAAGATATACAAAAATCATTACTGAGACAAGTAATACTTAGTGTAATTACAATTTATCACAACCTGAATATTTTCATTATTTCTGTTTTGTGAGTATAGATTTCCACTGCATGATTTTCCTATTTTAGATATTGAGAGTTCAGATATTATTCTACTTATCTTACAAAAGTTGCAAGAGAAGTCTTACAGTACTTGGACACTAAAAACACTCTACAGAGGAATTAAATTATGTATCATATTGTTATTACATGAATATTTGAAACACTTTAAAAGGAAATGTGAGCACCCACGTTATTTATGATTTCTCATCTCTTATCCCCATTTTGCCTTCCTTGCCAGTAATGAATTATTTACTTAAGCTATACATTAGCAGTTTCTTATCACACAATGAGCTATGACAGACTATAGGAGTAGTTGGAAAGTATCTATTCATTATTTTGTTGACAATAAACATTTATTTATGCTTGAATTATGCATAGCATACTGTACTTTTATTTTTTGCAGCTGACAATGCCCAGTCCAATGCCAGAGTACCTTAATGTTCATTATATCTGTGAGTCAGCATCACGACTACTTTTCCTCTCTATGCACTGGGCAAGGTCCATACCTGCATTTCAAGCACTTGGGTAAACAGGCATTTTTCTTTTGAACAGTTTTTTTTCTACTGAATTTAAGTACCAATCAGAACACTTTTCAAGCATTTCGAATTTTAATTCAATTTAATTGTTTAATTTTAAATTCTTTTAAATATATTAAGGCTATGCAATTTTTTTAAAGAGATAAGTCAAAGATGGTAGAGTGTACAGTATCTACTGTCACAGTAAAAGCTGAATCAAAAGTATTTAATTTGTAGAAAAATATATTTATAAAGAACTGGTGAGCACCATTCAACAGATAACCTGAAATAGATTCCTGTAATCAGGAATTGTTCTTTGTAATTCTTGTAATATGCTAATATATACACCTTAAAATTGTTTAGAATACATTGTTGTTATTTTTTAGAATTAGTTGGTAGGTTAATACCAACATGATATGAACACTAGCTACAGCTGTTTGATTTTGTGCTGCTTACAGGCAGGACTGTAATACAAGCCTTGTGCGCGCCTGCTGGAACGAGCTATTCACCTTAGGCCTGGCACAGTGTGCGCAGGTGATGAGTTTGTCTACCATCCTAGCAGCTATTGTCAACCACCTTCAGAACAGCATACAGGAAGGTATGTATTCAGTGTCATCACTTGCAGATGATTTGTCCTGTCAGGTACAGGGTGAGAGGCTGAAACTGGAATTTAAATAACATTTTTAGAGCAACAATGATGATTAAGGGACTGGAGCATCTATCTTATGAGGAAAGACTAAGCGAACTAGGCCTGTTTAGCCTAGAGAAGAGAAGAAGACGGAAAGGATATCTGATAAATATAGAAGTGCCTGAGTGGCGAATGAAGAGAGGATGGGGCCAAACTCTTCTCAGTGGTGGCCAGCAACAGAACAAGGGGGAATGGGCGCAAATTGAAACACAGGCAGTGCCATCTCCATATGAGGAAGAACTTCTTTCCTGTGAGGGTGCCAGAGCCCTGGAACAGGCTGCCCAGAGAGGGTGTGGAGTCTCCTTCTCCGGAGATCTTCTAAACCTGCCTGGATGCCACCCTGTGCCACGTGCTCTAGGCTTCCCTGCTGGAGCAGGATGGTTGGACTAGATGATCTCTAGAGGTCCCTTCCAACCTTAACCATTCTGTGATTCTGTGTTTTTTTTCACAAGCTGTTTTCTGATGAGTGACAGAGTTGTTCCCCATGATCCAGGATCAGCAGAATCCTTTACTTGCATGATTACCTCTCCCCCGGGGGTCTCTGGACTTTGTTGCACTGACCTCACAGACATCTCAGTGGGACAGAAGTGTCCACAGAAGAAATGTGGATAAGGTTGTAGAAGGTAGCATACTTTTCTCCTACGTCATCTACAGCTGACTAGCAATGTACCGAGAGAGTACTGCATCCCAGAGTCAGGATTGACTCACAGAGCTGCCCTCCTCTCCAAATGTAAATTTACTTTTTCCTGTTAGAATAATGATGCTTTTTCTTTTACCAAATCATGTCTGATTTTTTTTTCTTCCTTCCAAAACCTCCCCTTTAAAGTGTTAAACTATAGCATTTGCTGAGTACCACAAGAATATCCTTGCAAGTTTAATGACTTTGGATAATGCTATATAATGTAGTAATGTCTTTTCAGAAGATCAGAGGATCCTTTCAGAAGGAAAGACTTATTTACTACAGTGAATGAAAAATTCACTTTTAAAAGTATAAATACAAGAAAAGTAGCACTGCCATTACTGCTATACCATTCACTTATGTGGAAGTTAAATGAATGCCGATTAAAGTTAATGTTAAAAATTGCATGACAGCATGTGTTTTGTACTTTTGCTCATTCCCCAAATCATGCTATGCATTTGTAGAATGATTCATGATAAATTGAGAGTCTCTGATAAGAACAGTGTATCATTGGAATAGCATTGATGTTGCAGATTATGTTGTACTGGCAAAGTTATGCACGAGAGTTAACATTCTGTTTTAGCCCTTATCTGACTCAGCTTTGCAAGCCTCCCATAATCATTCCTCCATCCTCGCACATCCTCCATCCTCCTCCTGTTAAGTAAATAAAAGAAATAAAACAAAGCAAAATGCTTTTAAAATATCTCTTTGCCTGTTTTAAAGAGAATGAATGTTAGTTAATATATCAGATGTATTTGAGCTCACTTAAAAAGTGCTCTTTGAGCTTTTTATTTATTTATTTATTTATTTATTTATTTATTTATTAAGATAAGCTTTCAGGAGACAGAATAAAGCAAGTCATGGAACACATCTGGAAACTTCAGGAGTTCTGTAACAGCATGGCCAAGCTTGATATTGATGGATATGAATATGCATACCTTAAAGCTATTGTTCTCTTTAGTCCTGGTAAGGAATTTAGTAATTGTGCCTTTTAAAAAGTGGGCTACATATGTTAATAGTTTCTAATATTTGTTTATTTAAGAGACTGCTGTCCTGAGATCAGACTTTTTTTGTTAACCTGTTGATAAGATAACCATTTGTTTCATAATGATTTATCATTAAAAGTTTATATTTTAAAAATAACTGTAGAGCAACATGCCCTGACTATCTACAGTTCAATTATATCAGTTATTTTCTGTACACCTACTTTAGAAGACTATATTCTCAGTCATCTCTTCCCTATCTAAGCTTCTCTACTTAGGCAGGTGAGAATCTTAACAGTAATCAGTTACCAGCTATGTGTATTAGTAAAATTAGTGAGCTAAAAATCAAGAATGATTAGAGAAAATATAGTCTCAAAGTGACAAAAGGTAATTGGCTTCAATGTTAGTATTTTTAGGAGACTCATAAGTGGGTTAGAATTTGAAATATGAGCAGAAAATGCATTATATTTTATACAGAGCTTCCACAAAACCCCAAAAAGTAAATGTAAGCAAGCTGTCTCTCATTTATTAAAAAATGACAGTAGATCAACTGATACTTGATAAGCAGTGTTTGAGATATGAGGATTTACTAAAGGAGGTCATTCAGTTTCTGTAATGATAAGGCAATTGGAGTCATCTGTCTTTTGGGACACAGGAGAAGAAATGCTGCTAGAACGCCAAAAGTTTACCTTAAAACTGATGACAGGTTGAATGTAAGGGAAGCTATCACTCAGAAAGGTAAATTATTTACTTTAAATATGTTGCCACTTTAACAAATTACCAAAAACAAAAACGATATTTTGTAATCTATTTCTTTTTGCATATTTATTATTTTCTCTTTTATTATAAAACTTAATCTAATTAGAAGATTTTAGTGTCCTGAAACTTTGCTTTTGGAAATTTCTTGCAGATTGTATCACTAGATTTAGGTTTAATGTGGATTTTATTCTAGTCTGTGGGTAGAGAAACTCTCCAAACTTGGACTAACTCCCTGCCCTTTCAAGGAAAGAGCTCCTTGAACACAACAGTAAAGATACTTCATCATAATCAGATAATGTGATATTCTCTGTCTTCCCTCTGCCCTCCCCACCTCGATTGTATGACTATCTTTAAGGAGCTGATTCAGAGTTAGAACACGGAACAAAGTTGAGAAGGTCAGGAAGTTGACCTGTCAGGGAAAAGAAACCTAGATTGCTCAATTTTTATAGCTAGTCAAAATCACGGAGCAAAATTAAAAACAAAAAAGCAGGGTTAGAAACATAAATTGGGAATATAATTGCCTGCTTCCTGGTATATACTTACAGGATTGATTTTTTCCTGCTTTCCTATGGGATGCAGCCAGCACTCAAGGGGTGGGGGAAAAAGTATGTTAACTCTGAAGCCAGGAAGTAAATTTCAATCTAACAGTTTTATTTAAATGAAAATAAATGTGAGAACCTTGTAACTACATATATTTCATAATGTAGAGGGAAACAATCAACATACAGAAATGTTTTGTTTCTTTAGATCACCCTGGTCTGACCAGTTCAACCCAAATAGAAAAATTCCAGGAGAAGGCACAGATGGAATTGCAGGACTATGTACAAAAAACCTATCCAGAAGATACGTATAGGTATTTATTGTCTGTAGTACCCAAAATAATGTTACAGGCCATAGCTGACAAAGGCACAAAACAACATCCTGACATGCAAATGCCCTTTTTGATGTCTGTTTTGTTTTGGCAGTTGAGATAAAAGAACCAGAACCTCGTTCATAAAAGCAAGCAGGTGTTCATTTAAATAGAGCAAGAAACAAGAAGTTTAACTTCTTCCATTCAAACTAAACTGTATACTTTGTTCTTTTTCTTTAATTGTCTTTGATTTCCATGTTTAGAAAACCAGACAGATATAGTTTAATAGAAGTCTTCAGAATAACTACCATACACTTTTTTGCCTTTAATTAAAATGATGCCTTCCTTTTCAATTTGGATAATTGAAGGGTACTCTGAGATAATAAAAGGCTACTTGTATCCTTTTAATATTTATCAAGTTACACTTGTAGAAAGGTATTAAAGCTGTCAGCTTATAAACCATTGAAAATTAAGGGTTACATTTGGGGAACAGTCACTAAGTCTCTTCTGTTTATAATAAATTCTCACTTCCTCCTTTCCTTTGCCCCCATATTTATTTCTGAGGATTTCTGTTTGAAAGTATCTAATTTGTTTGGTCAACCCTCATCTGTTCTTGCTCACTACTTGCCGGAAATAATTATCCCTGCCCGCCCCCCCCCCCCCGTCTCCCTCTTTTTTTTTTTTTTTCTCTCCATCAAAGCTCATTATTTTTCAGCTTCACTGTCACAATGATTCACAGTGCCAGAAGGGAAATTCTAGCCACTCTGTAGTAATCTATCCTGTAATTTCTTTTCTTGTGAAAGTAACCTTCTTGTGGAAGAAGCATGCAATCCTTTACTGTTAAACAATGAATGATGGTAGTGTAGCATTTTTTAAAGAATGGGGAGAGGGTGTTAACACTGGGTCAAGAGATGGCATATCAGGATTCCTAGTTATATAGTTACAAACACCCTGGTAGATATGATGTTGTATCAATACTTTGATCATTTATTCAGTCTTTATACTGGAGTGGAGGTGGGCATATATTCCTTCCATAAGCAATTTGTGCAAGAGAGCAAGAAAATTTATACCATAAAAAAAAAAAAAGCGGATTTGTTATATTCACTTATTATTTTTAGTAATGATTCAGGGAAGAAAATCAGCCACAGCCCTAAAACTTTTCCATACTTTAATCAATGTTGTTTATTCCCCTATGCTCATCCATAGATGAACTTAAAATACAAATAGATTATTTCTGAGAAACTGAATGCTGACATAAATTCAGATTGAAGCAAAAAGGTTACAGCTTTCACAAAAATGGTGAGATGGCTTGAATCTTTCTGCAGTTTTCCTCTCATGTTTACAAAAGGGCTTACATACTTTTTCCACAAATGCTCAAGTGTCCTTCAGAGGTCTTTGTTCAGCCCTGCCTAAAGTTTGCTATTACTTGCCTATGGTTCAGGAAATTCATTTATTTTCACCTTTGTGGTGTATATCTACTGTGTAAACACAATAGATATATTTGCAAAATTGTTCTGTTTTTAAAATGCACTAAAAGGCCAGAAGTGCAATGTGATCACTTCTTCATATTGCATATCTGTTAGCATACTAATACATGAAAACCTATGTATGATATATATTTGAAAATATGTAAGAATAAAGCAGAACCCTCCAAATTCCTTTTCTCATTAGAAGCAGATTCTCTTATTCCCTTTTATACATAGCCAGTGTCTCTGACTGGTTTGTCATTAAGTTGCTAGCAACAAGAATTATGCTGTTCATGATTTACATTCTCATTAAGAATTTTTCTCTTAAAATTGTCTAAATATATTAATTGGTGTGAATAATGGTCTCAACACGATCCTGAATTATGAAGTTCTTCCAGATCTAGGAATTTCAGAAGCAGACCAGGAGAACTATATGTTTGTACATACACATTTTTATGTTAATGGCCTTTTCCCTGGAGAACCACTAAGAAAGATGGAGGATTTTCATTTCTCTTGCAGTATAGAAAAGTAACCATTTTTTCATAGTAGCTAAATTAACTTTAATTGCCTCTTTACTCCCCTTCATGAGTTATGATGATGATAAATGCAAAAACAATTCTTTAGACACAGGATATTTTAAACTTGCATTATTTGTATTTATAATTCACTGAACTTCTTTTTTCAGGCTAGCCCGGATTCTAGTTCGCCTGCCAGCACTTAGGCTGATGAGCTCTAGCATTACTGAGGAACTGTTTTTTACTGGTCTCATTGGAAATGTTCCAATTGACAGCATAATCCCCTACATTCTCAAAATGGAAACAGCAGAGTATAATGGTCAAATAACTGGCACGTCTGCATAGTGGGAACAATACACTTTGGATCAAAATAATTTTCATAAAAACATACATTTAAGAGAAAGAAGTTAAAAGAATAACAGTTGGGTATGTACAGATATTTCTAACTTGTTACTTAATTTCCTACCAGATTTCTTCTTGTTTGTCTGCTGACTTTGACAAAATTTAAGCAGCTTTTAAATGACCTGTAATTAGGACCTTTTCTGCCACAAGGAATGTTTCTGATGCCTTTCATTCAAAAGGCTTTAGATTACTGAACATACTTTTAACATGCTTTGTATTTAGAAATTATTGGTGGTTAAAAATAGAGTTTTATAATATGGGAGATAAGTAATGAAATTACTTTAAAAGTAAAAGAACAATATGTATATATTTAAAAAATGTCCTTGGAATTAATATCTAATAATTGCCAGGGTATGATATTAGCACTTTGTAAGCACTTCTTGTCAAAGCGATAATGTCATCAACATCCTGCTTATAAGTAGGGAAAATAAAGTTGCGTATGTCTTTAGTAAAAATGCTAGTGATTTCTGTGAAAATGTAGAATGCTACAGGAGACAATCATTTATTCTGCAAAAAATCACTTGTTCTCATCTTATGCATTAAATAATGTGGATTCTTAACTCAAACTTCCACATTTTGTGTCATTATATTAAATCAGTGCAGCCATGATTAAAAGCATGGTATAAGCATAGGGACCGTGACGTGCTATGAAAATTACCCAAACTAGAAGATAGAATTTGAGTTTCTTGCTGCAGTGACAACGAAATATTCAAGATTCCTTAAAGTATCTACTCAGCCTGATGCAGATGTTTACACAGTCCTGACATATACTCTAGTAGGATACCTTTTGATTGTAGGGAAATTTGTCATTAGCTGGGGAAACAGTCTTTTTCAATTAGAGCTGCGTAATGCTCTTTGAGTACACTTGGTGTGTTTTCAAATTTGCTCCTCCACTCCATATTCACCATCTAGCCAAAGTTACAATTTAAAACACAAAATGTTCAGAACCTCTAGCTGTCAGCAGGACTGTATTATAAAGTTCTTCCTCACCATCCTTCCCTGAGGACTGAGCATTTCTTCCTTTGCAAAGCTCTCCATCTTCGCATGACTCAGTTCGAAACTGAGTTTTAGTTGTGATTTACACTCGGTCACAAAGAATTGCAGTTTATGGTTGATACAGCAATGAACTTCTTTTAAAATTGTTTTGAGTAGTGAGACATTACCACGTTTTTCTTGTACTGACCATTTCCTGATAACATTGCTTTCATTTTAGTATAATTTATTAACATTCAAATATCAAATTCATCGTTCAAAATTTTTTTTGAAATCACAGCAATTATTCCTTCATCAGATTATGGCTTATTAGAAACATTAATTAGTGATTTCTACAGCAGAGGCATTTTCTTATATATTTTTACATGACAAAAATCTAATGATAAATTCAGCACTTTTGATTTACTTATGTTAATGTTGATTTAGAAGGTTGATGTTTGTATCTTTTAAAGGTCTGAATTTAAAGGTCTGAAAAAGTCCTTAAGCAATTTTGATGAGGCTCCTAATGTAGTAATGTCATTCTCATTTGCAGGCTTACGTTTGTAACACTTGTGAAAAGGAAGGCAATGAAATTTTAGCTTCTGAGTACATTAATTTTTTTTCTAATCACCGTAGTTATAACACTCAGAAATTTCTGTTTTTAAGAGGTTGTTACAGAGAGCCCATTCTAAATGCAGAGAACAGTAATGTTTCACTTTTTCTCTGAGCTTTTGCTATAGCAAGTGAAATTGTCATATTTTTTATGTGAAGAAAAGACCCATATACTGAATATCAGGTCAACTGGAATGCAGAATGTTGTACTAGCTGTTGTATTGCAGTGTCATTTCTTGTGTGATTGTGTCAGGACCTTGGATGTGAAGTCCCTGTTTTAAGGGTATAGAACTTAAAAATTAATTGAGGCATTAGCAACAAAGTACCTATCTAGGGTAAAATGTTACTTTTTGTAAATGAGGTATTGCAAGGCAAACCATATCTAGAAATTATTTTTTGAAATATCATGAATGCATTTAATAGATATGTATTATCACCTGACATCTATAAAGTTTCTTTCTGTGTAGCATCTTCAGCATGATTTTCTGGGTTACATTAGTCAAAGCTAACCTAGTCTAGTCCCAATGCTGATAGAAAAACAGTACTATGTTGATGCACAGAGTAAACAGTTTGGATTGTAGAAATTTTGACAACTGATGGTGGATCTCACAATTTCAGAAACATTCGGGATCTAAAATGTTTTTAGTATTTGAATGTAAGTTATAAATAATAAGGCAGATGTGAAAAATAATCTTACACTTCTTTCTCACATGCTACTTGAGGACTACCATAAAAATGAGTCAAAGATTTGGCATGCTATTGACAGACACTGAAATAAATCACTTAAAACATTGCCATGTTAACATTATAAACCATATTCTCCAATGCAGTAGGGCTCCTTTGCACTAAATTTCAAGTGCAATCTATCAGGGAAGCTATTTTAATTGCTTTAAAGAAATCTTCATCTCTTCCATTTACCATTAATAGGAGATGGACATCCCAGAAGCACAGAACTGATGAAGGGATTCCTTCTGCTCTCAGTTTTAAGTGTTCATATAATAGCAATAAAAAAGGCATAGCTAAGGAAAATGGGCTTCACCAAGTTGTTCTTGGCCTGTGAAGATCTTTGGCATTATTTTCAGCCACTTCTGGTGACTGGGTATTCAGGCCATCCTAGCATGATGAAGGTAGAATCACCTATGATATGGCTGAGCCTCAAGTGAGTTTTAAACTATCTTTGGATACCATTTAACCTAGTTTGCAGTTTGGCTACGCCATAAATTCTGAATCCATGTAATCCCCCTGTGTTGCTAAAGAGAAGTGGTTATCATTACTGCAAAAAATACAGCGTGAATAATGTAGGGCACGTCATTTTGAGGTTCCCTTTACCCTTAGTGAGTGGAAAATAGTAACAGACTAATCTCACTAGCTTGCTTTTAACGTTTTACTTTATTTCTTTTTCTGCAAGGGCAAAGTTCTGCTTGTGAGCATGGAAGAGAATTATTCATTTTTATTTTAACAAAACTGTTGAAACAGGGTGTTTTTTTATTTTAAGTGTGGAAAAAGATGCTTTTTTTCCCCCTCTCTCCATGAAGGCCTGTCTTCAAGGCCAGATTCTTTACAAAACTAGAAGCCAAAGAACCATAGTCTGAGGTTGATTCTAAGAAAAGTGACATCTCACCAAAGCTTTACTTAGTGCCTAAAATGTATACTCTCCATCATTTTCTAGGTCCTGTTTCTGGTACTTTAAATTACTTCTGGTAATTTAAAATATCTTAACTTGGTAGAAAAACAGTGCCAAAACATCTGATTAGAGCTATCTGACTTGAATACATGTGCACATCAGTAATAATTCAGACCAGTGTTAGAATTCTGTACAGACTGGAGCTGTACAGGTGATAGGGGGCAACGAGTCAACAGAAGGACATGATCTATTTGTTTTCCTGTTTCTTTTGAGGAGGAGTTGGATTAGGATCTTGCAAATACAGAGGAATAATGATCAAAAACTCTGTGGGGCATTTGGGGTTAGCTTTGTACTAATGCTTTTTATTGCATTTATGTTGGGGAAAAAAGCAAACTTTCCTTTATTTCCTTTATTTTACTCACATGGGATTTATAAGACACAGCACTAAGACTACTTGCAAAAACCAAGTTTTTCTGCTCATTAACATTGGTTTTAGGTTAGATCTAATGCTTTCAGTATCTTTGGAATTATTCTTGTGCAAAAAGGCTGGGAGAGGAAAGAGAATGAACTCCAAGGATTTTTAAAAAGTTTGAGAAGAGATATACAAGACCATACTTTAGCTGCCTCAAAATGATAGATTGTTAAGGAAGCTTGGATTTCAGAGTGCTCCGAGGCATAAAACTTGTTAGTCGCTGCTTATTACTTGGTATCACTTAGTAAAAGTTTGTTTTCCCTATCATTTCTGAAACACATCGACCACAGAGTAGCCATAAGGCCTCCAGTGAATAGCACTGACTGAAGGGGATTCCTGTACTGAAAACAGCTGGCCTCTGCACTGTCTTGACTTTGCTCTTTAGCAAAGGTGCAATAGGGAGAAAAGTGTCGTATCTGCAGCTTCCAGGCCAAAACAGCCTCCTCGGAACTTATTCTAAAACATGTTTTTTCTTTGACAGTGACTGTAAAACACTTTAAATGTTTGCATGGTGTATAGGCTTCGTGGATGACATTGGCAAGATACTAAATATGCCAGTATATGTTCCTGCCCATGTGAAAGGAGGAGGGTAGTTAGGATTCTTCCCTGTTTACCTGTCATTTAATTCGCAAAGGATAATTTTAACGATCACCATGTAACATTAGGGGCAATAGTATCGGGGTACAGTTTAGCCTAGAAAGGCGAACATACCATGGTGAGGATGCTGCTAAACAAGCAGTGACCAGAGGAGCCTTCTGCAAAAGCCGCAGCAGTGAGGAGCCCTATCTAAATAGGCCAATGAGAGCAGTAAAAATGGCAAGTCAAACACGCAGTCATGTCTGGTAAACATTTTAACAAATTGGACTCCGAGAACTCTGATAACTTGATTGTCCAGTTCTAGAGCATACTGTGGCTTCAGCTGCTGCTGACTGCAGTTACGTTGGGATGTCTGTGTATTATACAAGGAACCAGCTATCCGTAATACAAATGCTGCTTAATGATTAAAGACCAGGTGTATCAGCAAATACCTGTAGGACCACGTCCCTCAGGGAAAACAAAATTATATCTCTCTCTGTGTATTTTTTTAACGATCTTTGTTCTTTCATTGGAAATACTTCTCCTCTTGTTCACTTACTATTTAGAGAGCAAAAGTAGGATAGGTTTGTGTCCTGTCCCGTCCACACCAAGAAAAAAACAGAAATACTGGGAGGAGAGTAACAGGTAGGCTCTCATCTGTCCCACTTGCCATAAACAGCAGAACAACTTCGGTAGTGGTTTGCTTTAGTAAGCACAGACCTGCTCTTCCAGCAGCACACAGGAGGTCTTAGCACCTCCAGAAGTATCCAGGTAGATTCAGCAAAAGGAGGTCATGATTCTTCTACAGAGAAGAGGCTGGGGATGGTTAAATTATCAGAATCTACTGGATCTTGATGGACAAAAAAAGGATTAAAAAAAAAAAACAGCTTTACATGAAGTTTATCAACAAAAGGCAGTAAAATTAAAATAATGACTTTCTGTGTCTTTTAATTCTAAAGTTGCTGGGTCATTTTAACAGTAAACTCCTTCGGTTTACGTTCAGGTTTAGCGTTTGACTAAAGATGCTGTAATTCCTCCTGTTAAATTATGATACAATCCTGCTGCAGATCCAACATTAAATCTGAAATTTGTGCCAAAACAAATAAATAAACTGAAGCTGCAAGTCGTGTTCTCCTTAAAGTTTAAATTCTCTAATATATTTAGATTTGGCAAACAGTAGACCACAGAATTATCTTATTTCAGAGCTTTCTGTTGTGAAGTCATGCTAAGTTTATCATGGATAATACTGTCATAATGTTCCATAGGTCTCATAGCGTGTTTTATCCTGTGAGTTACAGAAATGCTTTTAAAAAAGCTTATTATTAAAATTATGCCTTTTTTCTCTCCCGTTTTTAAAGGCTTTGACAGATTTTTATACATTTATATTTTTTGCCTCCCACCACTTCATTTCTTCATATTCAGTGCTATAACTCACTCGAACAGCTAATAATGTATATATTGTGTGTGTGTGTCTGAATGTATATGTGTTTATATCTGTCTAAATATGCTATGTACAGTGTATAGAATGCAGTGAAAGTGTGTACATATGTACAGATATGTAGCCATGTATTCATACTGTTCTACATGTGAAAGCTTTTCATTGATTTGCTAATCCGGAGCTTCCTAGTTTTCATTTCTTGGTCCAAATTAAGCTCTCACTTAAGAGATGCATCCCCATGAACTTCAGAGCTTTGCACCCTTTTTTTAAGCCCATCTTGAATTTGGTATTTTGTGTTCAGTACTGACAAATACATTTGAGTCTTTGAGTCTTCTAGATTATTTTGGTATTTTGTGTTCAGTACTGACAAATATATACTATGCTATTTGAGTCTTCTAGATTATTTTCTGTATCTTTTCTCACTTGCTCTGTTGAAGTCAACCAGTGAAGAGCTAACAGAACCTATAAAATCAATGTTAAGTAAATTAATTCACATAAATAGTTCACATTCGTAAATAGAATATTACCTCTCCATTGTCAATATACACTCATTCTCTTCCAGCCTTCCTAGATAAGTTTTTTTGTGAAGTTTTATTTCACAGTGAAACTTGGTTAAGTGGACTGTTTTAAGTCTTCAGCAGTGAATAACTAGAAGAACAAATTGCCCTGTTTTTGTTGAACAGTAACAGACAGAATAGGATGTAATGGTTGCCATTTTAAAAATCACTTGTCGTATTTCCAGAACAATAGCATGAAATTATACTGTTAATTAAATTGTTTTCTGTTTAGTGAAATAATTACATTCCTGTTAGAATGATAGTTAAATAGGAGTTCATAAGTAGTTTATGACCATCAAGACTTCCTTACAATTTTCACAGGGCATTTCAGTTATATATCTACAGTTTTTACAATCTAATATTTTTATTTGTTCAAGTTAATTTATTCTTTAATTCAAAAAATTGAATTTTCTCCTATCTTAAAAGTTTTTTTCTAAATTTAGTTTTTGATTTGAATGAAACATCTGAGCCACTGATAACTATTTCTAGTATTATTAAGCCTTCATCATCTTCCCATTCTTTTACCAACTCTAGTTTTTACTTCCTAGATCATGGCTTCTCTTTCTCATCAATTTGAAAAATTGTTAGTAGGATTCATTTTCTAAAGTTATTCTCTCTTTTGTAGTTTAAAGAAAACAAAACTGATTAGTTTCTTTAGCTGTCAGGATAACATTCATTTGCACATTTTCTCCTTTCCTGAAACTGCAGTTTCCATGAAGCTTCCTCTGTTTACAGCGGGAACTACACACAAGCATTCATAGAATTAGACTTGAAATAAGATTTATACTGTCTATAGAGGGAGTATTCAACACTTAAATTATCAAAATTATCCTTTTCCTTTCTGACCACTTGGAGTGGCATAGGAAGCCTGTAAAAGTATTAACCTCAAAAAAACAAAGTTTTATGAGAGTAGTTAGCATGTCTTTGTTTATGTCCCATTAAGAAAGTGATACAGTGTTTCTGAGCATTTATTTCCACCTGATGGAATCAATGTGGTAAAGACTTGTGTATGTTTAAGCAGATGAGCAGACACAAATTAAAATAATGTCAGTTTCTTACACACTCAAAGGGGGAGCAGAAGTCTCTTGCAGAGTTAGGCCCTTGGGTTGTAAATCCTGTACTATGAAGAATGCTAAGAACATTCTGTGTTTCTTGCAGTATTGTTCAGTAGGCTTTTGCAAGCTTTCATTTTAAATAGAGAATCTGTAAAACACATTTTTGTGTTTTGT